CAGAACTCTTGTCACGATCCAACGGTTGGTTTGACCTCGATCGCGGAATTTGACCAATTGGGCCAATAGGGCCCACAACCTCCGGTTTTTAGTCCGAACATTCCTATAAACCCAACAAGGTTTACTAAACACGTTCTGCAAGTTTGGTCCAGATGGAGCTGTCGGATTGCTCTCGATCACATGATCAGACGGTTATTGGTTTACAAAATCTTGGAGTCATTGATTTGGAGTATTCAGAACTCCCATTCTCGATCCGTGAATTCCTGCATGATCATAAAGGTACCTAGATCAACATAGTTGGAAATAAAGTCGGATATCGCCTAATAAGCGTAAACCCGTTAAACTGTCATACGATAACCAAATTCGAATCCAAACATACTGTCGTGTTTGGGACAACATGGGGATTATTTTAGGGCACAACAGCCTGCCACAGAGTGACCCACGGGCCAACACACGTGCTGGCAACGCGTGGATGGCTTGAGTAAACTTCCGACGCGGAAATTTCTCAAATCACCCAACAATACTTATGCCTATGTGATCAGGAAAACTAGGGGAGCAACTTATACCACTAGGTGGACCTCCAATTTGGCCGGGAAGTGGCCGGAAAATCAATCCAAAAACCGAAAATTTCTATGTTTTAGATTGAGTTTTTAAACTTCAATATCGATCTAATCCAACATATAGATAGCTAGAGCTCGTGGAGAGGATTGAAATCCATACCTAGTTCGGAAAAAATGGTGGTCGAAATCACCCAAAATGCAACGAAAAACTAGTGCAGTCGCTACCAAATTCGAGCTCCCAGACCCTCCCTGAGCAGCGATCTTGATCGCCGGCCCCTCATGATCGAATCGCGACCGTGCTCAGCCGCGGAGGTGATCAGACGGTGGAGTTATCTAGCCACACAGTGGCCGGGTCTGTGTGTGTCATGAGGGAGAGGGTCGGGGAAGAGCGAGAGGAGAGAGAGACTGAGCTGCCTTTTTAAAATTCTAACTTTGAAATATTTACGGTTGTGCCACTACACTTACGTCGTCCGTAACTTCTTCATTAAAACTCTAATTTGGGCCCACTACATGTCTACGAACTCGTATCGACAAGCTCTAAGCAACTGTGCCACTCAAATCCCAAAAATTCTTACGGATCAAAAAGTGACTATCGTGACCTTACTCCGATGGTAAAATTGTAATTTCACAATTAAATAAATTAAATATAGTAAATAAATAGTTAAAATTGGGTCGGGGTGTCACAAAACATGGATCTAAGCAAACAAGGGAAGAAACATCACACATTATGAAATAGGAAAGAGAAACAATCGACACCACCCAAACATGGCATCATCTATCCCTAACCTCAAAGATCCCTAGACATTGGGGGGCCATGGGAGCCCATCCCTGGTTTGAGTGTTCTTTGTGGTTCAATTGTCTCACTGCAATTTGCCCCCTAAAAAAACAATTGCCTCACTGCAAAGAGGAGGAAGCGTAAAAAAACAACAATACAAACCACGTTATAACATTTGGGTTAATATGAGTTTTAGCAAGAAAAAAAATAGACTCAAAATTTGACGATGTGTCGTGTGTTTAGATTGTTTGAGTGGTTTACATTTAACGAAATGCAGGTAATGCACGAAATCTAAATGCAGAGGCTAGGGATCCTTCTCACACACATGCACACATGACCTAAATGTCATTGGCTTCGAATTGAGACCTTTGGTCTGCAAATCAAGGCCCTTTTTCACTAGGCTAGACTCTATTGGCCATATTTTTAAAAAAAATCAAAGTACTTGCGGAAGACAACATTTGCCTGAAAATACCCTTCAACTGACATCGAAAGAAGCGAATAGGTGGGAACCAAGCCTACCACATAGACAATTAACAAAATTTTTGATGGTGAAGTTGCAAAAAATTAAAAATGTTAAGGTACATGATTGTTAAAATTGAGAGTGCGGGGGCAAACATGCCTAAATGGTGATATTGAAGTTAACCCTTCATTGAATTTTATAGGTAAATTAAATGTGATTGATAATTTAAGATGAAATTAATGTTATAATGTACGATAAGTATTTTTTGTTAAGAAAAAAATATATCGAGGATTCGGGGCGGGTTTGGAAGAAAGCCCCCCTTGTACTTCAAATCAACCAAGCAATTGAATTGCACAAGTACACCTTCCCAATATGTTTTTGAGTCTATATTGATTGTGGTGCTAGGAGGGATGGTGGTGTGAGGGATGGCCAGCTGTCTGTGCAAAAATCCTCATGGGAGAATATTTGCTTGTGGATTCTTCAACCTTTGATCTTCTTTCTCTCTCTTCCTCGGTTCTTGTAACAAGACCGGAGTAAATAGACCACACTCGGGGGTGTTGGCCAAAGGCATTCCGATGCTTAAGTTAGATCGATTGTATCTATGAGAAACAATAGCTAAAAAAAGGGTACGGAGATTTCTCTATGGGGAGAACCGGGTGGCCGGAGCAGTGTGTGGTTTCTGTGTGTGATGGCCAGAGCCGTGTATAAAATTATGGAGAGAGGAGAGAGGCATGGCTGGCGACGGTGGTGGCGCCGTCGTCTAGGGAGAGAAAGTGGAGAATTTTGTAGGGTTTCGGGACTAGATTTAGAATTACCTTAAGTATTGAATGAAGCTATGTATTTATAGGGCTCTTGGCATCTAGGGTTTTTCAAAGAATAAAATTTTATTTGGAAGGAGTTTATTCTTTCCCCAAATTGTAGAGATTGAGTCCATTAGGGATTTGATTGGGATCAAATCTCCTAATTTGATGATGATATCTCCAAATTATGATAATATCTTAATTGGTGATATTATCTTTTTAAATAAAGATATTATCCATTTTGAAGATAATATCCCTATTTGTTCGTATCAATTAATGGCCAAATAAATGGGTTTAATTAATTGACTTAGGAGATATTCTTCTTGTTCACGTGGCGTCTTGTGATTGGCAGCCGAATTATTTGCTCTCACACCAGCAGGCTAGGGTGGAGCGATTAAAGTCAAGGGCTCAGATCGATGGAGATGGTATATATATACTTTTTGTTTTCAATTTTAATCTAATTTAATTGTTTAAAAGATGTAGATTTTTTTCTTCTTCATGATTTTCCCATTTTTAACAATTTAAATTGTTTTTGTTTTTGTTTTTTAACATATTTAAATTCACATGGTATTATATTGTTGGATATGTGGGCTCAACATATGTTCCTCACATCAATGAACTCATGGAACTTTTGACTAAAACTTACCCTAGGGACTACTTGTGAACACGTATATTAACATGGAGGACCACTGTTGGATCTAGCCTTGTTTTGGGTAGGCAGTTGCTGACCCGAAAATTGTCAAGAAATAAAAATAGATAGATATGAAGCAACAAGACCAAGGAAAAGAGAAAGTTAAGAAAGAAAAAAAAAGAAAAAAGAAAGAAGAAAACAAAAAGCTCAGGAAAAAGAGAAAAAAAGAAGAAAGGGGGAGAGAGCGAGAGAGGAGAGAGGGATAAAAGTGGTAGGGAGTCACATGACTAGATATGGGTGATATTGGACTCTATAATTATTTAGGATTGGGTAAAATTGTTTGGACACCCAATTTTTTTTTTTGTACACCCGAGCCCAATTTCTTGTACACTAGAGTACACATCGTATCACGTATCATAGTTTTTATAAATTTCCAGTATCGGCGTATCCGTACCCGTATCCATGCAATGTGTAAGTTCCGCCTACTTTACTTCCAAATCCTGGATTTGCCATTGTTGAAGACCATAAAAAAAAAAAAAAAAAAAAAAAAACAAAAAAAAAAAAACAATCACCTTTATAACTTCGTAAACGTCAGGAATGTTTTGTGATAAAAAGCCATAATTATATTATCATATTGCAAGTCTATCTATTATTTCGTAAAAACCAAAAGACTTGTGTTGTCACATTGTATCTTGAAATAATGCAATTTTTCAATTTATATGTTTAATAATTTTGTCTTCAACGTTTTGGTTTTTTAAGAGGCAAATTGGCTTCGTTATCCTCGATGTATACCCTAGTGTTCTATTGTTTGGGTCATGCGTATCATAAAAAAACCAAGTTACTTTTGAGCCAAATATATTTTTAAATTTCCGAACCAAATTTTCTAAATCATCCGGAGCCTTGGTCCCTCCCATTATAAATAACAAATTCTAAATGATACTAGTTAATTAAAAGATCAATTTTTGAAGAATAAATGGGGTTTTCTAGTACAATACCTCTTGTTTGTATGATTGTTTTGGCATGTTTTTTGCCTATCAATAATGAACCAATATCAATATGATGTCTACCTACGTGGTTCATATGGACAAGTTTTTTATGCCTAAGGAATTTATCAACCATTACAACTGGTACAAGGAATTTATCAACCATTATTGATTCGTTTAATTTTCAAAACCATATTACACTAGGAGAACACCAATCGTCACCATCCCTCTTATATATTTACGACTATGTTATTCATGGTTTCAGTGCGTATTTATCTCTAAATGAACTAAAGGCTTTAAGGAAGTGCTTAGGGTTTATTTCAGCGCATAGTGATGAGATTGCCACACTTGATACCACCAACACCCCAGAATTTCTTTCCCTCCACCCAAAAATTGGTTTATGGTGGCCTCACTCAAATTTTGGCAAAGATGTCATTATTCGTATTGTAGATTGTGGTATTTGGCCGAAAGTTTAAGCTTCGAGGACCACAACATGACAGATAAAAAGCTACCACAATTTGTAACTATTTGTAACCTTAAAATTATAGGAGTAAGGAAATAAGGCTTTGAAGAAAAAACTAAATGGAAATGTGCTTTGTTTAGAATATGCTAGGTATACTAACGGGCATGGGACTCGAATATCATCCATAGCTGCTGGTAGTTATGTAAAAGAAGTTTCTTACTTTGTCTACGGTAAAGGAACGACCAAAGGTATTGTACCACTTGCCAAAATAGTTGTGTATAAGGTCTTTTAGGATGACAGATGTGTTACCTCCGATGTTCTTATTGGCATGGAGCAAGATATTGAAGATGATGTTGATGTGATATCTGTCTCTCTGAGCTTTGCATTGGAACCGTATGATGATCCCATTGCAAAAGCTTCTCTTTCTGCTATGGCAGAAGGTGTTTACACCATAATCAACCAAGCATATCCAGCCTCAAAGCAACTAGCACCAAAGGCAGACACGCCTTCTCCCATGCCAAAGGAAGACACTCTTCCGAGGTGCCAAATACATGTCGAAGCTCCAGATTGCCGAAGCTCCCAAATTGCCAAAACCACTCTCCATGACACGTGTCACCACCGCAACGACTTGCACAAAGTCCCACATCGGAAATCTACACCAACCTCCCACTTTCACTCCCCTATAAATACGGAACAGTACCCCTAGTAAAAAGGGTAACTACTTTTATGCTTTTTACTGTTACTTTGTAAAGGTTATCCTTCTTAGCTGACTTAAGCATCGGAGAGCCTTCGGCCGGCACCACACCGGTGTCCAAAGCTTAACGATTGCTTCCCCTATTTTTGTCTTATGCAGGCTAGCCTTTATTGAAGGTCCAGACCCTTTCCCTGCTGAAGGCAAATCCCTTTTTTCTCTAAGTTGACCCTCTCCGAAAAAGAGCATCAACAGTTTGGCGCCGTTTATGGGAAACGAACCCACGACCACTCAATTATGCCTACTGAGGATAACCACGGGACTCAGCACCATACCCCCCATGGGGGTACCTCCCAAAGGAGACCTTAAGTAGATGCCAATCTCCAGGCAGAACTGGAGAGCCTCCACACCAGTGTCACCAAGATGTCCAAGAAATATGACCATCTTCATGCTAAGAATGTCGAGCTCGAGCATGACTGCCGCACACTGAAGCGTAACTGGGAGATGAATCAGGCCCAAGGCTCCCAACGTAGCCTTACCTAGGAACCTGAGTGTACCCAGCCAAACTAGCCGGAGCACTCCCACCATAGTGTCCCAATTCAGCCTAGGCCCAGCAAGGGTAAAGGTCCCCTCCATCCAGAGACGACCAAGTCGCGGTTCCTCCGCATCTCCCAGCCGAGGAACCGGCCCCATGAACCAACAAAGGTATACAGGGATTGCAGGGACTGTATCTTGGACTGTCAGACGGAACCCCCTCTTATCCCCGTTAATCTCCAAGACCCAAAGGTGACACACCTAGGGCCCCCACCAAAGCCTACCCAACTACCCCCTAGAGAAGGTATAGGGAACTCGGAGAACTGGGGACAGGATTACTTAGAAGACTACGAGTCTTATCACACCGAGGCATTCGAAGAATATTACCCAGCCCATGGCCACCCACACACCAGACCTCCAGCACCCGAGACTCTCCCTCATACTGACCCTGCAATGAGGCTTCTCTTTGAGAAAGTCCGGCGCCTGGAGAGCGAGCAACAACGCAACCACCAACCCCTCTGGGCAAAGCCACGACCTGGGCCCTTTACTGAACGCATCCTTAATTACCACCAGGAAAAGGACATCCAGCCATTTCGCATCGCCTTCTACACTGGCACGGAGGATCCTCTCACCCACATACATTCTTTCCAGTCTGCCCTAGGGTGCAAGGGCCTCATTGACGAAGGCATGTGCCTCATCTTCCCTTCTACTCTTAGTGGCGCGACCCTAAATTGGTTTTACAGGCTGAACCCCCGCACCATCAACACATTTGACAGTCTGAAGCAGGCCTTCTTGGACTATTTCATGATCCAGACTGATCGCCTCTACTCCGCGGACGACCTATACATGCTTAGACAGGGTGAGGACGAGCCCCTTCGGAAGTATGCAGCTAGGTTCAGCCATGAATACTCCCGTTGCCTAGATACTGATGATCGTGCCGCCTTCGGTGCTTTCAAGAGTGGCCTTCGAGAGTCCAACTTCCGATACCTGATGCACAATAACCCTTGGAACACATATGCTGAGCTAATGAAGCAGGCAGCAATTCACGCCAAGGCTGAGTACTTCAACTCCAAGCGCAGCCCAGCCACCCCGGCTCTTAATCCTTTTGCTGATCCTCCACCTGCTTCAGTACTCATCCCAGCTCCACCTCAACATTCTGCCCTTATACCAAGCACCCAGGGTGCCCAGCACCCCAAGAGGAAGGATAGCTACTAGCATACCTTCAGCAATAACAAGCGGGGCAGACACGGCAACCACCACCAGTCTAGTGGAAGCAACCCCCCCCAGGACAAGTGACCGGGCCCCACTCCCATTCTCACCCAAACCCAAGTTCGAGGTCTTCACCACCTTAAACACTACCTACCTAACACAGGTGTCTTCTGTCGCTTTCATCAGTTCGGTGGCCATGATACCGAATCTTGTGTTGCCTTGCGCAACATCAATGAGGGGCTTATTTGTGAGGGGAAGCTGGATAAATACGTGCACAACCTCCCACCCCCACCTAACCCTCACCAACGGCAGATCAACATGATCTCAACCATCAGTGGTGGCCCTACCATGGCTGGAACCTCCAACAACTCCATCAAACATTATGTCCGCTCCACCTATGCGCACTAGGTCTTCAGCACTGAGCAGGGACGCTTGCCGAAGACACAAAAAAACAGGCTGGGCCCCCATTACCTTCTGCGAGGAGGAGGAGCGTGGCGTTATCCTCCCTCATGATGACCCAATCATTATCCGCACCGACATCTCTAATTTTGACGTTGGGTGCATCTTGGTAGACACTGGCAGCTCGGTCAGTGTGATGTTTACTGATGCCTTCGATGAGCTCCAGGTCCCGTCTCATTTGCTCGACCGAAGCATCACACCCTTAATAAGCTTTTCAGGCGATGTGGTCCAGCCTATCGGGAGCATTCATCTCCCTATCTCTATTGGAGCAGCACCCCAACGAACGACGGTCACCACTCCTTTTCTCATTATTGATTGCCCCACAACCTACAAAGTCATCCTGGGACGCCTTGCCATGGCCTAGATGAAGGTTTTCATTTCCACACATATGTTACTACTGTTGAAATTTCCTACTCCCCATGGCACGGGCACGGTGCGCGGCGACCAACTTGGCGCTCGAAGCTGCTATGCTTCGCTAGTGAAGTCTACCAATCGCCAACATAGGGGTGAGGCCCTAGCTGTAACCCAGGCCCCAGCCCCACCTCGAGCTGGCACTGAGCGCCCAGAGGACCCTAGGGAGGAATCTGCCACCCAACAGGCTGAACCTGTTTAGGACCTCGAACTGGTCACTCTCCATGAGGATATCCCGGATCAACAGGTCAGGATCGGCACCTCCCTCTCACAAGAGCTTCGTTCTGATCTTGTTGCCTTCCTCTGCCTCAACTCCGAAGTCTTTGCTTGGTCTTACAACGATATGCCGGGCATATCACCTGACGTCATCTCCCATAGGCTAAGCATTAATCCTGTTGTCTGACCCGTTCGGCAGAAGCGTCGTGCTTATGACCCAGAGCGGTATGAGGCCATGAAGGCGGAGGTGGATAAGCTGAGCACTATTGGATTCATCAAGGAGGTGGATTATCCCACCTGGCTAGCCAATGTGGTAATGGTACGTAAACCAAGGAAGGGCTGGCGCATGTGCGTCGACTACACAAATCTCAATCGGGCCTGCCCAAAGGATAGTTTCCCCCTACCCCGCATTGACCAGCTAGTTGACGCCACAGCTGGTCACGCCCTCCTCAGCTTCATGGATGCTTACTCAGGGTACAACCAGATCTTTATGCACCTTGAGGACCAAGCTCATACATCCATCATCACTGACCGTGGCCTTTACTGCTACAAAGTCATGCCCTTCGGCCTCAAGAACGTCGGGACTACGTATCAGTGTCTGGTGAACAGCATCTTCGCTCCACTGATTGGTAACACCATGGAGGTTTATGTTGATGACATGCTCGTCAAGAGTCGCACGGCTGACCAGCACATCCCCAACCTCTCTGCCATGTTCGCAATTTTGAAGCAGTATTGGATATGGCTCAACCCCACCAAGTGTGCATTTGGGGTGGCCTCCGGCAAATTCCTTGGCTTCATGATCAGCCAAAGAGGTATTGAGGCCAACCCAGAGAAGATCCAGGCTATCTTGGACATGACAATACCCAAGACGGTCAAGGACATTCAGAGCCTTACCGGGCGTGTCCCAGCCCTGACCAGATTTATCTCTAAGGCCACTGATCGTTGCACCCCATTCTTCAAGGCACTTAAGGGTAGCAAACGCAACATTACCTGGACTGCTGAATGTGACCAGGCCTTTCTGCGAGCTCAAGGCATACATGAGCCGAGCCCCTTTATTGTCAACCCCTGAGTCTGGGGACGTCCTCACCATCTATCTCTCTGTCTCGGCCACAGCAGTTAGCTCCGTGCTCATTCGACCACACGAAGGTGCTGAGCATCCGGTGCACTATGTGAGCCTAGACATTGAGAAACTTGCTTTCGCACTGGTAGTCTCGGCTAGACGCCTCTGACCATACTTTCAAGCTCACACCATCCATGTCTTAACCAACCAACCTCTCCGGCAAGTGTTGCAGAAGCCAGGGACTTCTAGGAGGTTAGTTAAGTGGGCCATTGAACTTGGTGAGTTTGATATCCACTAAAAACCTCGCCAAGCCACAAAGGGCCAAGCCGTGGCTAATTTCATATCTGAATTCACCGAACCCCATACTCTCGCCAGCAACGGCTCCCTAGACTTAACTCAGCCCTTATGGACCTTATATGTGGATGGATCTTCCAATGCCCAAGGATGTGGAGCTGGCCTCGTTCTTATCTCCCCTACCTTTCGGTGCCTGACCCCAGAGGAAGGTACCTACGTCCTAAGAGAGATTCATGAGGGCATTTGTGGCAACCACTCAGGTGCTCGCTCCCTAGCACACAAGGTCATTCAGTAGGGATACTTTTGGCCATCACTTCACACTGATGCCCAGACCTTCACCCAGAAGTGCGATAAGTGTCAGCGATTTGCCAACATCCCACAACTTCCAGCTGAGCTGTTGACAGCCATGGTCAATCCTTGGCCATTTGCCCAATGGGGACTTGACCTCGTTAGACCTATGCTTGAGGGCAAGGGCCAAGTCAAGTATGCAGTTGTAGCTATGGACTACTTCACCAAGTGGGCTGAAGCTGAGGCCTTAGCCACCATCACTGCAGCCCGCATCGAAACTTTTGTTTGGCAAAACCTCGTATGTCGCTTCGGCATCCCCAACACCATCGTCACGGACAATGGCCGGCAATTTGACAATGCCAAGTTCAAACAATTTTGTTACAACCTCAAGAGTCTTTGCTTCGCCTCTCCAGCCCATCTTAAGTCTAATGGCCAGGTGGAAGCCATGAACAAGATCATCAAGAAAACTCTAAAAACCAAGCTTGACAAAGCTAAGGGTTGCTGGCCAGAGCTACTCCTAGAGGTTCTCTGGTCCTACTGCATCACCTTCCGTACCTCAACAGGAGAAACACCTCTCTCTCTCTCCTTTGGTACCGAAGCAGTGGCACTAGTGGAGATTGGCCAGCCCACATACCGAACCTCCATTTATGAGGCCGAAGTCAATGACGAGCAGCTAGCCCTGAACCTCGACTTCATCGATGAGCTTCGTGACCAATCCAACATGCGCAATGTCGCGTACAAACAGTGCATCGCTAAGTACTACGACTCCCGAGTCAAGCCCCGTGCTTTCAAACTTGGAGACTGGGTCATGCGCAAGGTTTCCTTGGCCACCAAGAATCCCACTGAAGGTACCTTGGGCCCAACATGGGAAGGTCCTTATGAGGTTACCAAAGTCTGCCGCCCCGGCACTTATCAGCTTCGTGATACCAAGGGCAAGACCTTGCCTCATCCTTGGAATGCTGATCACCTCAAATACTTCTATAAGTAAACATACCTAGACCCTAGGACATTATGTTTTCTTAGACTTTGGTCTCGAGCCTTGACTCAACCAACTCTTGTACTTTTTGCCTTCCGGCACATATTAAATGAACGCCTGACCCTGGCTCATTCTCATCAATCACATGGTTCTCATTTTGCTAAGCACAATTGATATCAAATGACAACAAGTCTAATATCATAGCAAATCAAAGTAACCTTGCCCCAGGCAAGGCAAAATGTTCATACATAAGCAAAATAAACATCAAGTGTTTAAACTAAAAAGCTAGAATACATAAAGAAGGCAACGCCTTCAAGACTCGGTAGATGGAGTTTCCGTGGTGACTGGTGATAGGCTTTTTAGTACCTGCGCAAACAAGGTTAAAACTCCTACAAAACTTGCAAGAATGACAAGGTTATTGTAGTATAAATGATTCTCGCAAGGTCGTTCTCTGCAGGGATTATTAAATAACTCGTAGCAACCAAATTCTAATTAATTATTGCAAAAGAGAAAGTTGAGATGTTTGATTTGAAGACCTTAAATTAAAAGGAATTTAACTAATAAAAATAAGGCAATATGCAAAATTAAAGCTAAGAGCAAGAGAAGAAGTTGTGTTTTTAGAAATCAAATTAATAAAGCACTAGGGATCCGCCGTCACCTTAACAATTCTATATAGTTCCCCCAATTACTTATGACCTATACATGCATATTTCAAAGGTTAGGTATTCCTAATATATGCCTACTTGGACCCCCAACATAGAGCGTATATCACACATGCAATCCGTCTGTGGTATTCAGATCGAATCTAAACATACATGACTCATTAAGTTATGTGAAACCTTTTGAAAAACCATGCAACCCTTAAGACGTGGTATTCATCCTAAGTGAACTTGCACATATTAATCACAAGAAGCCTTCGTCAATTTCAGGGACCGACCTCCGACCAAAACTGCATCAAATTACTTTTCTAAACATCCTAATGGTGATCAAGCATCAAAGACACTTAGATAGTTTAACCCAGTGATGAATAATTCGAAAACCTGCATGCATATAATCATAAGCAAATTGGACAGAAACTACATATTCTTGCTAAGGCTCGTGGCCTCACCCTAGCAAAAGAGAGTTAGTTACGCATGTTCACAATTGAAATCCAAGAAAATATCATTAAGAAGAATAAGAATGAAAACACCTGAAAGTCGCGAAAATCCAAAACCCTAGCAATTGCTCCAAAAGCCAAAAAGAAGTAAAAAGGGAGTCCTAAATTGCTGTGAAAAGGAGTTTAAATACCTCCTAAAACCTAGCTCCCCAATCCCCACAAGGAAACTAAGTTAAAATAAAATAATACTAGGAAATAAAGTCCAAATGGGATTAGGAGAATCTGCCAATAATCTGGTCAGCCACGTTTTGGCCTCAAATCTCCTCCAAATCTGGCCCAAGATAGCTCGTTTTAAAGATAAAAATATTCCGAACACTTCTCCAGAAGGCCATGAACCCATCCGAGGTCATCTTGGGCTCCAAAAACGCAATACAAGCCCAAAACGTCACTATTCCAGCACTGCACATCGCTCCTTCATTTATTCGCCAGGAAATCATCGCTTGGTGGAAAAGTCTGATATTTTGATACGATCAAGCTAAGTGGCTCACGAACGTCCTCCAACTGGAATTACTCCAAAATTTGTCCATTTGATTATGTTTTGCTCCAGAGGAAGTCGAAAGTCCTATATTGGAAATATAATTCAAATTATCAAAATTCTTCCAAAATATTAACAAAAATATACTAAGAATGAGGCTAAATATATAATATAAAATCGACTCATCAACTGGCTCTGGCTCTGGCTCTGGAGCGGCATCAGTGGTGGGACTAGATGAAGGAGGCTCGCCACTCGTGTCAAAGTTAATCTCCACCGAAGGGTTGAACATCGCCACCCTCTCCTCCCAACGCAGTTGCATCGCCACTATCTGATCCATGATGTAGCCCCAAAGCTCCTCCCAACCCCGAAACGACTTGATCGCTTCGACTCGGGCAGTAGCTACCTCTTCGGCCCTCGACTGCTTCAGCTCTTCCATCTCCTTGGCCATCGCTGCTTTCTGCAGCACCAAGGTGTTCTTCTCTTGGATGGCCTCTTGCGCCTCCGCTATCTTATCCTTGGCCATCTCATTGGGCCTCTTCAACCTCTGGATCTCCTTATCTGCCTTGGCCATATTCACGTACATCTCGCCATAAGCCTGCAACACAAAGCATGATCAGTCAAAGGCAAATTCGAATTATATGAACAAATTCTTAAAGTAGGACAACTTACATAGGCCTGGGTAAGGAGCGTCTTCTGGGCCTGATCTATATAAGAGGTAGCAGGTGTCCTCGCCAAAACCTCTGGGTCACTCTTCACACCTTCCAGGAAGACGTTCACCAAAGGAAACTCCTACCGATGCATGGCCAGGTTCACCTCCTTCTTCTGCCGACACAGCCTGGAGAAGTCCACTTTCTCCACCCCTTCGGCATAAACGTCCTCCATACCGAAGGGGAGCTTCGGCAGTGCCTGCGGATCAAAGGGAGGAAGCCTCAGCCGTGTCCCCATCATGCTCCGGTGCGCTTCCTCCAGCGCTCTCTTCTTTCCTAGCACATCGGAAACCATGCCTTCATCATCTCTGGGACGCCTCCCAGCAGCCTGCTGAGCACCTCCCTTCTCCACCCTCTTGGCCCGAGACTCCCTCAGCCGTTTCTGCATCTCGGGATCATTAAGATCCATGGCCACCTTCGTGCTTCCCCTTATGATACCTGCCACTGCATGTCAAAAGCTAAGTTAGTCCAACTACAAAAAGAATCATAAGACAAACAATAACAGTGACCCAGGTACTTACTCCCTTGCAAGAGTCCAGACTCGTACAGATTCTTCTGGGTGACTAGGTTTTTGCACTGGCACTGGGTCTCCGACAACAGTGACCTCACCCTCTCAACCTCGGCCTCCCACTCCTTGGAGATCGGTCCCCACTTCACGGAACCTGCACCAAAAGTTAGATTCAACTCAGCCATTTATACTTGCACAAGCAAAAAATGAAGACCCAAGAGTCAGGGCACAAGTAAAAACACTACAAAACAACTAGTCTTAAGGGATGGGGCTAAGGACCTATAGACTGGAGACGATCTTCCCTGGAAGACACTCCCAATCACCATAGGCTAAGCACCATCTGTTCCACCAAGACTTCTACGTACTCGGCTTATGCCCAATAAAATAACCTATCTCCTTTGCCTTCCTGCAATTGGCTTGTACCCAGCCAAAGGTTCCATGTTGCTTAGAGATCGAATACAGGTACATAAACTGCTCAAATGTTGGCTCCCCCAACCCAACCAACCATCAAGCAATATAAACTCCATGCAGAAGCAGCCAAAAGTTGGGATTGTATTGCCCCGGTGCATACCCCAACTTGGCCAACATCATCTATACCCAAGGATGAAACGGTAGTTTGAGGCCATGCTGGTACATATCCGTGAAAATCATAACTGAACCCTCCGGAGGATATCTCACTACATCCGCAGCACTGGGTAACCTCAGACCCACATAGGGTGGCACACTATAATCTGTCAGAAGCTCAACCAACTTTGCTTCTATAAGCGTATTCCGCTTCGCCAACGGGACACCAACCCGGATGTCCACCCCCTATGAAGCTGAAGCCACGGCTATACCCACAGATCCTGATGGTGATGTCTGATTGCTCGAGCCCACCTCCGATGTATGTGCCAAAGCTAGAACCCGATCAACAATGGCCTCTATCACTTTATACTTCTTCTGCATCTCCCTATATACCTCTGACCCAGACTCTACTGATGGCCCATCCATCTCACCCTCATGAACTACCATCCTAGCTTCTATAAGCCCTTCTACCAAACCCTCTGTCTGGGAACCCTCATCTTCAGAACAAACATACTCACTGGCCTCTTCACTCTCAGACATATACAACATGCAGAAACAAGAAAAAGGAACTAATGCACATGCAAGGAGGATCCAAACACAAAAACACAAAATTGGACGGCATCTACATGCTTTTTGATCTAGATGCATACATTCAACATGTTCATACTCATGCTCAAGGTGTTCATCCTAATCTTCAACATGTTCGTACCAAAAGTTGAATTTCATTTCAAAAATTCAAGGGAAATGAGGTCTAACCTTGTTTGCACCACCACGGAAATTCACCGGAAATCTTTTTCTCCTTCTCACTTTCTGGAAATCTTTCTCAAAAAATCTCCAAGTGTGATGCCTACGTCACTCCAAGCTTCTATTTATAAACACCCTAGGGTACACAAGAAACCCTAGCACCCTTCCAGTTCTCCTCTCATACTCCTTGTACACACTACAATTCAACAAAATTAAAAAATTAAAAAAAAAAAAAAAAAAAAAAAAAAAAAAAAAAAAAAAAAACCCAAAGGAAAAGCTTGGGAGGACCTTGCCAAACGGCAAGGCCCGTGTAGAACCAAAAGGAGGACTTACCAACTTCTCGAGGCCTAACTCCAGGAAGGGCCCAGCCTCTAAAAATCCGGTTCTACCCTCAAGGCCCGCAAAAAACTGGTTAAGACACCCACACCAACCTTTCAACAACTCAAGGCACCCAGCTCTATTTTAAAGGCCCAACCTCCTAATTTTTTAGGCCCAGCTCTGGCTTCCAGTTCAAGATCTAAAACAGCCACAATAACACATCCACATTCAATCAAAGTTTCAAGTTGGCAAGGCCCATGAAATTCAAATGGGGGGTCACGAAGTATTTTACCTCAACCCAAGCCCGTGCGCACCACGTGGCCAAGACCCAGCACTAGCATCCGACGGCCAAGCCAATATTGTGCTAAGCCTGATCTAGCCGAGCAAAATCCTCAATTTTTCAAGTTCACGCAAACAGCCCAGCTCCTTGGATGTAGATCAAGCACAGGGCCCTAGCTCTCAAACCACCCCGTGGGCTAGCCAAAATTTCTCTAGGCACCCTTATCGAATGGCAAGGGTTGAGCAAGAAGAAATGGGTCTCTGCAAAAAGCTCAATTCATGACCTACACAAACATCAAGACTCAGCCAACTTGCCGAAAAAAAAACAACGCAGAAAGGAGTGAAATAAAAATTAGGGGGGCAAATTTGATCAAGCCACCCTTGCCATTCGGCAAGGGCAGAGCCAGGACCAAAAAATAAAGTATACATACTTGCCGAAGGACTAGCTCCAAGGCACTCTTCTCCCAAAGCTCGAGCAGCCCAACTCCCTTGCCACCACAAAGTGCCTAGCTCAGCTCCTAAACTCACATGCCAAAGGAACAAACAACCAAAAATCTCGATCATCAATTCAAACTTGGTTGGCCTTGCCGAATGGCAAGGCCCATGAAATGCAACAAGGAAGCTCACTAACACCTATGTGTCAAAACAACAGGGACTCGAGTACCCAGCCCCTGGACTTGAACACCTCCTCTGTAGATCCTACCGATCGACAGACTTCCGCCTGGACTCTTGCCCAAGCTTCTCTAGGCACACGAAACAACAAGTTTCTTGCCGAACCTACCGTTCCAGACCTACGGAATAGCCTCGTCGACAAAGACCAAGCTCAAGGAAAGCCGGCAAGAAACTCCTTCACCCTTGCCGATCGACAAGGGCTGTGCATCGGCTAAGGAGATGACAGCCCCTTGCTCTCCTCCTTCAAAACTGAACCTACCGCAGCTGTGACCGAAACCAAGCAATAGCCCAGCTCCGAAACGCAAGAACCCAGCCACCTGCCAAAGTTTAAAAAAACCACAGCACTAAATGCCAGGTATCCAACCAAATATTCAAACTGACCTTGCCGAACGGCAAGGTCCATACGGATCCAAATCAAGGCTCACCAACGTTGTAGCTCCAAGCCTCCCGTGCCAAAACAAGCCAAGGTCTGAGAGGTTCCTAACCACAAGGACAAATCAAGCCCAGGTCTTGCCGAAGCTTGAGGACCTTCGGTCCCTTTCTCAAAGCCACAGCCCGACCAATGTGAGCTGAACCACGGGGAGGCTCGCACTGAAATGAGAGCTGGCCACCCTTGCTAAATGGCAAGGGTCGTGCGGAGATTAAGTAGGCCCTCGTATAGGAAACACCTTGCTCTCCCCAAAGGCCAAGCCCCCACAACCCACACCGTGGCCTCGCAAAAACTCAGATAACCCTTACCGTTCGGCAAGGAGAGAGTTGCCGAACTCTTTCAAGATGTGCTCGTGAAGGGTTGGCAGCTGACGAACTAGGGACCCAGGCACTTTTCTCTTGCCACAATTGGTCTTTTCCCAAGACTTATAGCCCCAACTCTTTTTTTTTAAAAAAAAACACACCAAAAAGGAGTCCCAGCTACTTCTTGTCGAACGGCAAGTGTTGAAGAAACATATTTATACTCCCTTCTAAAAATCCTAACCCTAGCAATTGATTATGTCAATGAGACCCTCCAAGGGCCCAGCCCCAAAACTCCTCAAACCCCTTGTCGAAGCATTGGATGCCCAGCTCTAAGGTTAACTCTCTGCCGAAGGATTGAAGGCCTGACTCCAAGCCCCCTTGCAGCCTCAACCCCACAGGGCCTAGCTCCATCAAGTACACCATTGGCCCAGCCTCCTTGTCGAGTGTAGAGCCCAAACCCTTCCGCTTGGCCTCATTGCCCAAGCCCAGCCTATCGGCTAAACCCACAGAAACCCACCTAGGGCCTAGCCCTTGAAAATTTATTAGCTCAAGCAACCTTGGTCCCTTGATCTCAAGGTCACAGCCCCAAATCACCAGCCCCTACCAAAGCCCAACTAAGGCTAAGCCTGAAACCATGACCTAGCCCCTTTGCCGAAGGCGCAGCAAGACCCCGGGTCCGTTTTCACCCTATGAGGCCCAAGCCCGAGACTCTCAAACCCCTTGCCGAATGGTAGGGGTCATGGTTTTTCTTGAAGAGCTCCCACAAAGTCTCAACTCACAAGGTACCTAGCTACCGAATATCCCAGAGGCTAACACAGCTTTTATCATATCTACCAAGTATTAACGCAACTTCTAGCTTGCCAACTTGGGGGACTAGGGACTGCCCTACGGCTCCCACTGAACCTGGAATGCTCGGTCATGATTACACAAAAAACTTCACAAGTGCCCAACCCAGAAGTTACTTCTTGACCGTTAACTTAGGGGACTACTATTTACACCATAATCAACCGAGTATATCCAGCCTCAAAGCAACTAGCACCAAAGGCAGACATGCCTTCTCCCATGCCGAAGGAAGACACTCTTCCGAGGTGCCAAACACCTGCCGAAGCTCCCGACTGCCGAAGCTCCCAAATTGCCAAAACCACTCTCCATGACACGTGTCACCACCGCAACGACTTGCACAAAGTCCCACATCGGAAATCTACACCAACCTCCCACTTTCACTCCCCTATAAATAGGGAACAATACCCCTAGTAAAAAGGGTAACTACTTTTCTGCTTTTTACTGTTACTCTGTAAAGGTTATCGTTCTTAGCTGACTTAAGCATCGGAGAGCCTTCAGCCGGCACCACACCGGTGTCCGAAGCTTAACGACTGCTTCCCCTATTTTTGTCTTTTGCAGGCTAGCCTTTATTGAAGGTCCAGACCCTTTCCCTGCTGAAGGCAAATCCCCTTTTTCGAAAAGAGCATCAACAAAAGGCATAGTGATTACAACTTCATCAAGTAATGAAGGTTCAGGGGTTGGGATATTGAGAAATAGGATTCCATGGGTCTTAATTGTTGTTGCTGTCAGTGGTTTGTTGGAATAATAACTTTGGGAAATGGGATGACTATTACTGGATGGTCTATTTTCCCGGGCAATGTGTTGTTACAAAACTTGTCATTGGTTTATGATAAAAACCTAGAAACTTGCAATTCTTCTACATCGTTATCGAAAGCTCAATATGACATCATTATATGCAACGTAGGGAATATTGACAATAAAATCAAATCACTTGTCGCAATGTAGGAGCTATACTTGTTTCCCACGAACCCATATTATTAGAATTGAAGCAATTTCCATGTCCATGTGCTTTTGATTACTTGCACCAAATGTTATCGACTGTGCAAAAGATGTAAGCGCAACAAATGGAAGTTTAGCATTCCAACACACCCTTTTAGGGACAAAGCCTGCATCGACTGTAGCGAATTACTCTCCGAAAGGTCCATCACGAAGTTTTCCAAATATCTTAAAACCAGATGTAATGGCACCCGAACCATTTGTTTGGCAGCTTTAATTCCAAAAGAACAACCACTCAAAGTAAGTTTAACATATGACTTTAGATATACAATAATATCAGGAACATCATATGCTTGCCCACATGTTGCTGGAGTGGTTGCATTGTTAAAAGTTGCATATCCCAAATGGAGTCTTGCTAGGCTACTATTAAGTTTTCCATTATGATGAAAGAATAATACTATTGTTACCACATCATGTGATATAGAAATGTGGGATAAAAATGTGGTAAGTGTAACATTAACAAATGTATTAGACAATACTCTGAATCCAATTAGAGACTATAATAATGATGACCGGTATTGTATCTTTTTGAGCAAAATTCAACACGGGGAATATTTGCAGGTTTATTGCTCATCCTTTGATCCTCCGTCTCTCTCTTCCTCGATCCCTACGAAATAAATAGGAGTAAATAAACCACACCCGGGGAGAGGGAGGGGGGGAGATACGGCAATAGCTAAAATGGATAAAGTTTTCTCTCTTGGGGAGAGTCGGGTGGCCTTAGCCATGTGTGGTGGCATGTGGCTGTGTGAGGAGAGAGAGATGAGAGGGCGCAACGACAATGAGAGACAGAAAGGGTTTTTTCGGGTGAGAAAGCGTTACCTCAAATTTCTTGCGTAGCTATGTATTTATAGTCTCCTTGTGTGCTATGGTTTTGGGAGAATAATCATTATTTGGTTAGGACTATGAGAATTATTCCAAGAGATTGGTGGAGACTGGTTCTTTGATTTGGGGAGATATTCCTATATTAAATCAAAGATAATTTCCCTAATTAATTAGAATTTAATTGGGGCAATTAATTTGACCTAAGGAATATTCCTTTTCCACATGCCGTCTTCTTATTGGCTTCTGCATGGCGCATGTGAGGCATGGAGGAGATGAGAAATATTTATTGGGCTCTCCAACTGCATCTGGGCTTTCTTCTTTGAGTTGGGCTCCTAATTGAATTAGGATGCCCAACCTTTATAAATACAAGGCTTCTCTTCACTTTTTTTCAAAACTTATGATCCTCTACTTTCTAACTTGTGAGAGAGATCTTGAAGGAGTGTACTACTTTTCGAGGAGAGGAGTCACCGTGCACACCAAGGTAGGTCAAACTTGTGTTTTTTTTTCTTTTCTTTTTTATTTGCAGGGAGGACCAGCTGGGTCGGCTCGGTTGATTGTCTTTGTGATCGTCGCTGCCGATGGTGGTGATAGCATCATGGTGGTGACGGTGGTGGCTATTGCGAGAGCTGCCACTGTATATGGATATACTTTTTGCTTGCGGCGATGATCGGAGGCTGGAATGATTGGATGGTGGCAACGCATCGCCGACCTGGCTGTTGGACTGCAACTGTAGCTACGATTTGATAGCTAGGCAGCATTGTGAGCCTAGCCGCAGGCGCCGGGTGATGGCTACTGCTACAGCCATGACCTGCTGGGTAAGTTGCGGCTCAGCTCGGACTGAGGTGCTGCGTCAGCGGCTCGGACTGAGGTGTTGCGTCAACGGCTCGGACTGAGGTGCTGCGTCAGTGGCTCGGACCGCGCGGCCTTCTCGTTATATAATTTTTTGTATGCCACAACTTAGGGTTTTGACATGCTATATGACTTGCAATTTTATTCCCTTTTTGCAACTATTCACCAATCATGTCTTCTGATAAGGGTAGCTGATCATTGAGTTCACAAGTACCTTTGTATCTGTGGGGTGGTTCCAAGGTGCATAAGAAGAGATTTGTGGCCAATTTGCATTGCGTTCTTCTAAAGCTCACTTCCAGAAGTTGTGTGTCACCTATGCTTTTGCCATACTTGATGACATGTATGTCAAGTTGGCAGTGTCTTCAACTAACTTGCGCCTCGTGTGGATCCGAACGATCCGGATGCCAAAATTATCACATTTCATCCTTTCTACTTCTCCTTGGGTTTCATGTTCTCATTGTCGAAGTTCTTCAAGAAGGTGTTCTGCTCCATGGAGTGTGCCCCAAAACAATGTACTCCGAATGTCTATCGGGCAATCATGTGTTTTGATAACCTGAGCCATTTCTTCAAGCTGGATCTGATGGTGCATGAGTTCTTTTACTTCTTGAAGTGAGGCGCTAAGAGAAGTATGCAAAGGAGATCACGTATGTGTTGGAGGTCAGCGGACGGTGGGAAGGCGAGGTTGGTAATGGTCCACTTGTTCCCCTCACTTACTGGAATGGTACTTCATATTTTATTGATCTGCTTCAATTTTGTCTGAATTTCTTTAGTGTGTGACTGATTAACTTCCATCTTCTATTTGCAGAGAATGACATCAGCAAGAAGCTTGATCTTCAGCCAGACATGGCTAAGGTTCGCAGGGCCCTGAACATCCTTGAGCGGTTTCGTGAATGGCGCTGGCTGTTAAGCGAGTATCGGAAGAAAGCTAGTGATCTACCCTATACCAAGGATGTTAAGAGATGGAAGCAGTATAGCCCAAACTCGAAAAATTTGCCTACTGAATGGGAGGAGTTTTCCCTCGAACTCCCTAAAAAGAGGAAGGCTGATGCCAAGTCCTCTAAAGATGAAGTTGGAACCTCACGGGTGAGGGATGTGTCTCATATGCTGAGAAGACTCAAGCAGGAATTGCTCTTTTGTTGTTTGCCAGGGTCAAGTACCTCGTTGGTGGGATAGTAAGAAGATCAGCGACATGCAGAATGTTCAGGACATTTCGCTCAAGTCTCCAACTACAAGCTCAAATCCTGCAATCTGCCCTGGAAAGAAATCTATTCCCAAACCGGTTCACTTGTTGAGAAACATAAAGCTGCTGATATTCCTCCCTGAAGTTCAATTCGTTTGTACTAGTCATGGGGTGAGGATCTAACTAGGATGACTGCTCCTCCACCTAACCATCGTGATCCAGCTGTTGAGCCACGAACAGTCAAACATGGAGCTGATTTAGCATCGTTTAGTCCTTTGGAGGCGAGGATGGAGGGGTCTAAGAAGGCCAGAGAGTCATCTAATCGGGTGAAGGGTTCTTCGGAAATGCGAACAGCTAGTCCAAAGGTTGACAAGTCCAACTCTGCAGGGGATGCATGTGTCTGTGATATGCTCAAGATGAACTTTCTGTCATGTCTGTCTGCTTGCGTCAAACTGGTTGATCATATACATCAGGCTAGTGATCTTGGCATGTTCTCAACTCTTTCCTTGGAGAAGAAAAAGAAAGCGGCTATCACTTTGCTAAAGGTGTAATTTCTGTTGTTAAGGCCATCCGAGATGCGTCTACTGTTGCCCCTATTTTGCTAAGCTAAATGAGTTGAAGAATAAGAATGTTGATTTGACCGGCAAGCTTTCGGCAGAGTAGACCCATCATGAAACGAGGATGTCTGAAATGAAGTAGAGCATGTATGTACTTAAGAGTTCCCTTACGCAAAAAAATAGTGAACTCAACTATTCTGTCGCTCTTGGGAGAAAAAAAAACTCTTCTGTTGCTGCCCCGCATAGTTGCAAGGAGGCCTTCTTCCATCTTGAGGGCAAGAATGCCAACATGACCTGAAGTTACGACAAGCTCCCAGCCAAGTTTGACTCCTATCATAAAGCTACTGAGCAATCCAAGTCTGAAGTCGTAATCGACGCATACAAGATGGGTCACTTGGATTGCAAAAGTGGTGTCGCTCCTTGTCATTCCATTGAAGACAAAGACATCGAGATGTTCTGCCCTGACATGCCCCCTGCTCAAATTGAGCAGATCAATGCTATGGACATAGAGGCAGCCGAAGAGCAAGTGGATGATGAGAATGCAGCTGAGGAAGATGATGTTAATGAGGGCGCATCTGATGAGGTGACGGCAGATGTTGCGAAGCAAGCAGCTGGAGCTGTTGAACAGAGTGGAGTCACCTGTCGGAGTTCTGCAGTAGATGAAGACTCCCTTATCTTTTCAAGCTTTGTGATCTGCTTTTCTTTTTGTAATAATTTTTCTTTGTTTACCCATATTCTTTCTGTTGAACTCGGCCAGTTTGTCACTTTACTATGGAAACTTCAGTTATTTCTTTAACTTCAATTGCATTGTGTCTTGTGAATCGCTTGAGTTACCAGCTGGTGCCTTTGTTGTGCATTTCCCTTAGGATGTTTGAATGTTTACCCACTGCTTGCTTGAAGGGTGCTCTTATGCTTCTCCCTTAGGATGCTATAAACGTTGTCCTATGTCTCTTTTAGGACATTTTTGGATAGATGCTTGTGTCTCTTAGGATGCTTATGATGGTCGTCCTACGTCTCCCTTAGGACGCTTTTATCGGTCATGTGTCTCTCTTAAGATGCTTTAGACAGAAGCCTACGTCTCCCTTAGAACGCTTATGGCGGTGTCCTATGTTTCCCTTAGGACGTTTTTGGACTGCGTCTATCTTAGGAAACTTTTAGCTGTCATGCGTCTCCCTTAGGACACGTTTAGACAGGAGCCTGATTCTCCCTTAGGACGCTTATGGCGGTGTCTTGCATCTCCCTTAGGACACTTTTGGATTGTGTCTCCCTCAAGATGCTTTTAATTGTCATGCGTCTCTCTTAGGACGCTTTTAGACAAGAGCTTGCATCTCCCTTAGGACACTTATAGATAATTGCTTTCTTTTGAACACTTATTTTGAATGAAAAACTGAACTTGTATTGATGCTTGTGTGAGTAAATTGCTTTATTTGAAATGGATATAACTGGATAAATAACCTGAAGTCATTAGTAGTTGCTTTTCTTCTTCAAAAGTGGCTCAGTCGGCTACTAAGAATTGAGCCGGTAGGCGTAAGCTTCATGGGTAATACCTTCAGAGGTGATAGGCGTTCCATTGTCTTAGACTCTTCTTCCCTTCCAAGGTGTCAAGTGTGTAACTTCCTCTGCCCTCAGGCTGATTATGTAAGGGCCTTCCCAATTGGGTTTCATCTTCTTCGATCCTTATCTTTATGCAGTAATGAAAGGCTTTCTAAGTACAAGGACGCCAGGTTAGAATTGTTTGACCTTGGCCCTCTTTTGTAGTAAGATTTCGATTATTCCTGGTAAGAGGCAACTCGAACAATGGCTCTCTAGCGTTCTTCCTCAAGTAGGTCGAGGTTGACCTTCATTTGCTTGGAATTTTAACTAATACTGCCCACCTCAATGCTCATGGAGGGGACAGTGATGGGGCGAGGAATGACCGCCTCAGTTCCGTAGGCTAAGGAAAATGGAGTTTCGTGAGTTGACCTTCTTTTGGTGGTTCGATAAGCCCATAGTATTCCACGAAGCTCATCTACCCACTTTTCTTCGGTGCCTTCCAGTTTCTTATTTAGGCAATCCATCACAATCTTGTTCGATGCCTCTCTTTAGCCAATACCCTATTGATATCTCAGAGTAGATAGGTGTTGCTTGATACTGTACTTTTGAAAGAAGGCGGTGATCTGCTTGCTAATGAACTGTGACCCATTGTCAGTAACAAGCGACTGTGGGCAGCCGAACCGACATATAATGTTCTTCTAGACAAGTCACTCCACGTCGACTTCTTTAGTAGATGATGAAGCTTCGACCTAGATCCATTTAGTAAAGTAGTCAGTGGTGACGATCTTCATGTCCTTTTTGGTAGGTGTTGGTGGCTGTCGATGGTAAACTTCAACAGGCAGGCTAGGGACCGCCTTATATTGTCGGCATCGATCACATCTTCTAATATACTCCATGGAGTCATGGCGTATGGTAGGCCAGAAATAACCTATGCTCAGAGCTGTTTGGGTGAGTGACCTACCCCCAGAGTGGTTGCCTCACTTGTTGTCATGGATTTTGCAGAGTATCTCAAGTGTGTGATGGTACGTTATGCATGTGAGATGAGGTTCGAAGTATGTTTTGCGAATGAGCTTGTTGCCCTACATGTAGTATCTCACGGCTTTCTGCTAGATCTTCCTAGCTTCGTACTTATCTTTTGTCATATTTCCATTTGCTAAGTAGTCGATGATGTGGTCTTGGTAGCTGGGGTCCTCATTAATTTGCATTAAGTATATTTGTTCTATCTTTTTGATGCTTGGCTAGTCAATGTGCTAAGGTGGGATGGAGAGTTTGAACTAGGTGTTCAATGTTGATCCTAAACACATTTGCATGAGTATTCTGTACTCGGGAAACTTGTTAGATAGTGAAAGTATGGAATTCCTTAAAAAAACATTTGGACTTTGTTGAGGTACTAGATCATTCTCAGGTGTTTTTCCATGTACACACCTGAAGCTTGTGATCAGCTGGGAGTCTGAGTAGATAGCCAATTTCCTGATCTACAATTCTTTTGCTAAGCGTAGTCCAGCGAGCAATGCCTTATATTCTGTTTTGTTGTTTGAGGCTGGAAGGCTTAGTGTGATCGCTTGCTCCAACAAAGTTCTATATAGGGTGATTAGGATGACGCCTGCTCCAACTCCCTTCTGATTTGATGCTCCATCTACGTGCAACTGCCACATGTCTTTGGGCATGTCTAGATCGACGGAGAGGGTGTCGTCAGCTTCCAAACTTTCCTTGCTTTTGATGATAGTTTCTCTTCTTCAGCTGATGGAGTAAACTCTACAACAAAGTTTCTAAAGCTTGGGATTTTATAGGAGTCTTCTGCCGGTGGAGAAGGTCGTACTAACTGAGTTCGATAGCTCGTTTCATGTGTAGGTGAGAAGCGTCGAGGCTGTGGAGAATTGATCTCAAAGGAAAGTTAGTCATGACAATGATCCGGTGAGCTTGGTAGTTGGGCATTAACTTCATGGGACAAAATGAGCCTCTCCATTTTAGGATAGCGAGCCTTTGCATCGAGGAGTACTTATAATGTGTAGAATACCAGATGTTGTGCCCCCAACTCTTATCTTATGAGAGCTGAGCTAACTGCTGAGTGGGAAAAATCTTCTCCTGGTACTGATTTTTAGAGCAGGGGAGGTGAAGTGAAATAGGTCTTCAAGTTTTCAAAAACTACTTCACTCTTCGTCCCACTTGTCTCTTTGTCTTTTTTACAAAGCTTTGAAGAATGGCCAACACTTGTCGGTAGATCTCGAGAGGAATTGGTTGAGAGCTGCTGCTTTGTCCTTTGGACTTTGTATCTCTTTCATTGTGGTAGGCAACTTCATGTTGAGGATGGCCTTGATTTTGATTGGGATGTGACTCAATCCTTCTTTAGGTGACTAAGTATCCCAAAAATCGGCCGGATGAGACTCTAAATGTGCACTTACTCATATTCAACTTCATGTGGTATTTTTTGAGTAGGTTAAAGGCTTTGGCAAGGTTCATGATGTGGTCTGGTCATTGGGAAGGCTCCATAGTCTTGACTATCTACTCCTTGAAAATCATGTTACGAGCCTCTGGTACGTTGCTCTGATGGTCTTCAGCCTAAAGGGCATGACTTTGTAGAAATATGTACCTTTTTTTTATTTTATGATGAAGGAGGTATTTGCTTTGTCGTCTTCATGCATCATAATTTGATTGTTGCTGAAGTAGGCGTCCATGAAGCTGAGCATTTGATTATCGAAAGTTGAATGTACCAATTAATCAATTGTTGGTAGTGGAAAGTTGTCCTTTGGGCATGCCTTACTGGCTAGTTTGACATGCAATAGATGACTGATGATTTACAGGTCAATTTCGGGTATGTCAGATGGTGACCATGTGAACACGTCTTTGTTGTTCTAGAGGAAGGTAGCCAGTTCCACCTTCTCCTTTATGCTTAGGCGTGAGCCGATCCACGCTTTTCTCTCTGACTTGTCAGGATCAAGGGGTACTAGTTCAACGTCCTCCTCGAGCTTCCATCCTTCTTCACGAGAGACCTCCAGATGAATTCCCTCTTGGTCCTGTCTCTTTGATTGCTATTGGGGGTAGATATTCCCTTTCTTTTCTGGTCTGCTTGATTGTCAGGAATGAGATTTTCTTCTTCCTTCACTTGTTCTGCTCGGCTTGCCAGAATGAATTGTGTTTGATTGCTCTTCTTCAGCCCTTAGGCAGAGCATCTTGTCGCCATGGCTTAATCACTATTGATCTGCCCGATACCGCCTCCATGGATTGGGTAACGGATTTTCTGATGAGTGGAAGAGGTTACGGCGTTGATCTTACTAATACATGGCTTGCCTAGGATGCCATTGTAAGGGGACATAAAGGTTTGTGAGCTGATTACTGGTGGAGAATAGACGTCGAGGTCTATTGTGCCTACCGTAACCGAAATCGAGCCATTGAAGCCAGTCAGCAACTTGGCTGACTTGTTGATCTTTGTTTCCACACCCATCTGTTGGACGACAGACAATTGTAGGATGTTAGCTGCACTGTCCTCTTTTGAGTTGATTTGATCGATCATAGCTTAGGTAATATGAATGCTGATGACAAGGGCATCGTTGTGTGGTAGATCAAGGCCAATCCAATCTATCTTCTAGAAGCCGATCACGGGATTGTCTTCAACTGATGGGAGGCCGGTTAAGACTTGTGAGATAATAGTGGCCTGTTTAATCTTCCTCTTTGTTTTTTTTTTGCTAGTCAACCCAGACTCCTTGGAATCGGCCAAGATTGTATTAATCCTCATAAATTTATGGGGAGGTTCCTTGGTTGCATCGCTGTACTTAGTCTGCTAGATGGCCTTCTTTGCTACGAACTCTGTGAAGTGGCCTTCTCTCACTAGCTCATAGAAGGCACAGTACCTTATGATATCCCTCTTGGCTGGATCTCCCTTCAAGGGTGATGCCTTTTTCACCCAAGGCTTGTCTTTCACTTGAGATAAAATTTGATGTACGGGGATGGAGAACTTGTTATAGTTCTCATATGCCAGAGCATCCTATTGGGGCTGCAACTTGCTCTTGCCATTGCTCTTATTGTTATACATGGCGCTCCCCTCACCTGCCTATTTTGTTGGTTGATTGGCCTGCCTGGTAAACTTTTCGCAGCAATTTGATCGTCATCCCAGAGTGTATAGCATTCTGCAATTGCGAAGACCTCTGCTAGAGTCTAGTTGGGAGCGATAGTCAACTCGTAGTATAACTCATGCTCGGTTGGCAAGTCCTTCTTGAATGCAGAGGACACAATTCGGTCATCACATCCTACGACGTTTGCCTTTTCTGCCTTGAACCTCTTGATGTTGTCTTGAAGGGATTCATCGTGCTTCTTATGTAGGTTGAACATGTGGTCATGGTTCTTTTTGATCGTCCGATAAGATGTGTACTCCTTGGAGAAGATGAGGCAAACTCGTGATGTTGCCAATTAACCCGGACGATAGGGTATGGAACCAGTCTTGGGTTGCTCCTTATAGGGTCATTGCAAACACCTTGCACATCAGCACATCTTCTGCTTTGTATAAGATCATAGCACTCTTGAAGTGCTTGAGAAGGCTTACGAGATCAGAATCCCTTTTAAATGGCGTGAAGGATGGCATTGTGAATTGCTTTGGGGGAGCAGCCTGCTCGATCTCACTAGTGAATTGGGATGAGCTCACTTGGTCCATCTCCCTACGTAGGCATCCTCTGAATCTCCTCCGATTTTCAACTCTCGAAGTCGGCCATTGACAAATTTCTCGATGTCCTATACTCGCAAGATATGTGGTTCATGTCAGTTTTTCTCACCATGTAGTCATTGTTGATTACTTCTTCGTTGACTCGTGACTGCTGACCTTCTGGTTGTCCTGCCTATGTTGCGTATTGGTGGACTGCACCTGTGAGAGATTCTCTGTGGCTTGTCGACATAAATTTGTTCTTTGGGAGTGGGCCGCAGAGCGCCTTTCTTCATGTACCTCATGACGAGGGTCAATAGACTGACCTCCCTGAGGCCCTAGCCTCTCATGAACACTTCTTTATGAGCCCAGGTGGGCATGAACATCGGATCATGGGCCCAACCTCTCATGCACGTTGATCCTCAGGTATAATCTTAAAAGGGCACTCAATCTACTTTGAGCGGGGCTTGCAGACGCTTGTGACCTCAGTTAGAGATGAAAAATTGACAAACATTAGAAATGGGCAGGTATAATGTCTAAGGCTGGAGATGAAAAATACATACCCTCGGCGGCCACCTCGGTTGAGGGGTGAGTTGGTGGCAGTGGAGAAGGCACACCCTCGGTGTAGGGCACGGACGAGGGCATAGGCGTTTGATTCATGGCTAGCCCTCTTGGCGACAAGGTCAGTGGCGGTGAAGCCACCGAGTGTGTAGGCCAGGCGAATGACGGCGCCGGAGGCTGTGGCGCTGGTGGCCGACATTGAACGGCAGCTGCGGGTCATGGCATAAGGACCGAGCTCTCGGTCGTGGAACTTCTTGCCTTGCTCTTTTCAGGAGAGAAGGAGTTCCAGTTAGCCAAAGCACCCCGTAAGGCTTACTCGACCGTCTGAGCAAACTTGGCTGAGATATGATCATCCCACCAAGCCCTTCAGTCCTCATCCACAAGTCTTAACCGGCCTCCCATCGTCTCCAAGGAACAAGGGTAAGGAATGTCATTCCCCTCTAAAGCTGGAAGGAGATCTCGGCTAGATCATGGTTGTGGCCAACGTTAGCTCTCGAGGACAACATCCGATTTTTGGATAGTGGGAGCATGGGTATTGACTGTATCAGACTGAATTGCGTTGCCACGTTTTTTGGCAAATACACTCCAACACAGCCTTTGGTGAGACCGCAATGAAGGTCTCTTCAGACTAAGAAAGAGCCCCAGATCTCCTTGAGGTCGTTCTTTGTTTGGTCATTAGGAATGTGAGAAAGGTCGTGTGCTAGGTACAGAGGAAAAGGCCGATTTAAGCACACTCGAAACTGCGCCCAGCTACGAGCCTGGCCACTGTGTGCCAAGCGACCTTGAAACTTCCTTCAGCCTTTAGGGCCGTGAAGGGCATAGCCATGTGTAGAACCGTCGGTGTCATCATGCTGAACAGTAAGCTCATGGTGTTCGTCTTCGAGGACCAGAAGCTCAAGGCCGCAGCCAACAATGACCAGTCCATGACAATTGGCCTCTCGAGTAGCTTGATCAAGTGATAGATCCCTTGATCCTTCCATTGCAGATCGAAGAAATGCCCCATTCTCAGCAGCCATTTCTCCCAATCTGGGGTTGAGGTCAGCCATTGGGTTTGAGGACAAGTGGCATTCCAATACCTTATGGAAAGAAGAAAGGTCTACCATCTTGTCCTTCAGATGGGTTAACCAGCCCTTGTGGCATGCCGCCCTTTAGACGAGGGCCGAGAAGATGGAACTCCAAGGGGGCTTCATCGTCGACCCAAGGAGCAAGAATGTTGCCCTTTACTGAGCCTTGACCTTCTCGGCAGATGTTCTCGAACTTGTGGTAGAAAGCTTGGGACCGATTATGAACAGAAGAAACTGCTGTTGCTGCCATTTGAGAAATCAGAGAAGGGATGTTTCAAAAAATTGTTGAAGGCGATGAAGAACATGAAGAACACCTAGAGCTTAAAACTCAGGAATCTGCAAGAAACTCGGGATTTGAACGAAAAACACAAGGGAGTGACTGGAATTCTTAGTATGAGCAAAAGATCAACAGAAGAAAGAAGGCTAGAAATCGAGTTTGAGGTTCTAAAATTTCAAGAGGAAATTTTAGCAGAGTATGGGCGTCTGAAAATTTTGGAAGCGTGAGGGGACATGGTAAAGGTTGAGCTTTTATGTTGGTGCTTGAATTCGAACAAATGGTGGTAACAATCTCGAGCAGCTCAACGGTCTGGCAAACACTCGAGTGCTTGCTGACATGTCAAGCCCTTAAAGGCCATCGTTTCACTTGACAAGTTGAAATGACGGGTCGCTAATCAAGGCAATAATGAACTCATAATGGGGGAGTAGGCAATGTTTATGCCTAAAATTCTCGACCCTAGGGGTCGGCCATCTGGTGACATCCCAGTGGCTGGATTACTGACCAAATACCGAACAAATCAAACATGTCCTGGTGAAGATCATCCTTCGGCCCAAATAAAGGAAAGGCATCACTAGCATTCCATGGATTTGAAGCCACGACCAGAGTATCAAGGGTTGAATTCGAACAGTCAGCAAACAACATATAATGGCTATGAACTGTCCACCATTTCGAGATGTGGGAAGAAGAGGTCCCACCGAGGAAAACCTGAAATGGGGTTCCTGGGAAAGCAAAAACTGTCCACCCCACGGCTAAAAAAGGGGGAATACTTTAAATCCAAACGTGGGACCCACATCAAAGTCATAATTACAAGGCAGGCTATCTAGACCATGCTAGAACGGGTGAAGTAGACCGTAGGCCAAATGTTCAGTCACGGCCACGGACAACAGAGACCGAGGATAAGGACCAAGCATCAGATAGATGCGCCCATTAACTTGGGAAATGTGCTGATTAACAGCCACTTGAGCCACTAGGAATAAACAAAGGGGTTGTCGCCAAAAAAGGAGAGAGACAGATGATGCTCCTCATATCATGCCTTCACAAGCTTCATCTTCTTCCTATAAATACAAGACCCTCAACAACGTTCAAAGGGTCCCTGACCAAATAAGCCTCCCACGGAGCAAATTATCTTTACCTTTCATTTTTCTTCTTGTAATGCACTTTCAATATCTTTAAATGTTTTCCAAGGAAAGTTCTTCCATCCATCAATATATCATACGACCCTTGATTTTCAAGGTGCCGGCCCACCATCCCTATTACTTTTCTGTCCACCCAATATATCATACAGCCTTCGCAATCTAGCGATGCATTGGAGCACCATCCAAATCCACCGGCTGTCTTCCACCATTAACCCCAATCAATGACCTTGTAGCTCAGGCCCTGAACCTAACGGTTGAGAACTGTTCCTCTCTCAGCCGCAATCGCTTTCAACGAAGTCAGATCCAAACAAGCGCACTTAATCCATCGATCCATCCATCCAAATCATCTTTTTAATGCACGGTAGACCATGCTAGCAAGCATGCGTACACCTATCCAACATAAAGTAGGACGACTTGTGTTGGCGCATAATCCCCTCGGCCTAGAGCACTAAGCCATGAAATTTTGCGCTGTCAACATCTTTAGCACACCCAGTGGGACAACTTTTCTAACAATCTGCTGATCCCTATTCGATGGGGTTTTGTCAAAAGTTTATGGTGGAAACTCAGTCATAGGCGAAACTCAAGAACAAAGAGGCCGGGATGTCCTCCGAAATTCTTGAGTCAACCTCGCCAATTGCGACAACTGAAGCCCAATGTGGTGAGTAGTACTCTGACGCCTAGAAGCTTCGGTTGTTCGTTCATTCCTTAACTAGAGCAGCATTTTTCTAGTTCATCAACTTCTTGCCGAATTCGGTTGGAGATTAGTTTGATATAAAGAGAGTATTGCATGAGCACTTTTATCAAACCAACCGAGAGATAACCGTTGCCGAACTTACAAGGAGGAGCTAGATGCCGGGCGAGACTCCCCGTGATTACTTACAGTGCTTCAAGACATGTAGGAATTGATGTCAAACCAACTTGCCTGAGATTGAGTTAGTCAAGATGGTGGAAGAAGGTTTGGAATTCGAGTACAGGAAGAAATTCTAGGGTATCAAGTTTTGTGACATGCATGAATTGACCAACAAAGTTGACAGATACGCGTCCCTTTTGAAAGAAGAGGTTCAGAAGAAAACGGCCACAAAAGGGACGTACTACAAAAACTTAGTCGTTAGTTATGCATAAGCTGACAACCATGGCGTGGCCAATGATGCCAAGGTAGAAGTCAGTTCGGCCGAAGTTAACATAGACAAACCTTTCATGTGCAAGGAGCTTGTCAAGGCCGACAACAGTAAAACAAAGCTTCTAGATAGCAAGTTCATGGCTCGAGAACCAAAAACTTACACGTTCGAGTTAACCAAGGCCGAAGGAATTTTTTATTTACTATTGGCTGAGAAAAAGGTCAAGCTATTGTTCGGCCACAAGATCCCTAAGGGGAATGAGCTCAAAGGAAAGACACTTTGCAAGTATCACAATTCTTGGTTTCATAGCACTAACAATTATTGTCTTGCGTGACGTCATACAGAAATTGATAGATGAGAAGAAGTCTAATTCTAGGAGAAGACTGCTAAGAACTCCATGACCTAAGGCAATATAGACTGAGGCTGAGAAAGAGGAGAGGCCGAGAAGGAAATCAAAATCCGAAAGAGCTGGGAAAGGAAAAGAGAATGAGCTCAAGCTTAAACCTATGATCTATGATAGGGACAGAATCGAGATCGGCCATCCTAAGTCAAGAGAACATAAGAAGAAGACAGTCCATCCTGCCCTCCTGGCAGTCCATAGATCTCTAGACCGGCCGAATCATTGACCCCGGTCTAGTGTCGTGTTTGATCGGCTAGGGGCAAGGCCTTTGCCAGGACACAAAGCGCTTGGCCGTGAAGAGCAGGCCATTCCATGACTGTCTAAAACCTTCAAGTCTTCAGTCTTGCAGGATGACCGGTGGTATAAAGCTTGTCCTGGGGGCAAAGCTAAACCCTTGACAAAAACTCAGTTAAGGAGGATGCAGAGACAGGCTCAGCAGGCCAGATTTGAATTAGGACATGCCGAAAGATCCAAACACCGCAAGAAGAAGATGGCCTTGAGCATACAACCATCTACTCCAACAGAAGGTTCCACAAGAAAGAATATTTCTACTAGGAGCCCGGAAATCGGATGGTCTCGACCGAGAGGGAAGTACCCTATCAGGGTTATTGTCGGCCCTGAGAAGTTGAAGGTTGTGATTCGGGAGAAATCGGAGGACGGCATCATTGATGTCTATAGTGGGAAGGATCCCCCTTTCTCACCTACTGGGTTATCATTCCTTGAGGAATTCCAAAAAAGACATTCGGCCACCAATCTATACGAAATGGTCCCGGAATATCGAGAGATTGTCGAGCTAGCCCTCAAGAACCCAAAGGCCGAAGAAATGCCCATCACCAAGAGTTCTTACCCAGCGACCAAAGCCTTGTACCTAGCAAACCGTGAGGCTAGGGCTAAAGGATTTTTAGCTTACAAGCCTTACATTTGTGGAAAAGATTCGGATCGGTCGACTAGATGATACCTAATGGCTAGAGACTCTTTGATCGAAGCTGAGAAACTCTTTGAAGGGAAGGCGGAAGCTTCTACTAGCGAGGTCTCGGCTGTTAAAACGTCCACGACCGAAGAGGATTTTTTGAAGAATCGATGGAGACCCCAACGGACAGCCTCACCAACCTCGTGCCTGAGGACAAACTGAGGATGCCCCGACTGAGAATGAATCTACACTGGGTTTGTTCGACGGCGAATTTGGAGGAGCCTTCAGATAGGCCAAAGGGTAAATGGCCAAAGACTGTGACACGACCGAGGAGCATTACACGACAAAAGAGGAGACCGACGGCAAAGATCTATCAGGACGGAGTGAAATGAATATCAATATGGTCTTGGTCCTAACCGCCGAATTCCTAGCCCCTGAAGACTAGAGTAGCAATCTTGATGGGGACTAGGAATTCCTAAGGACGAGCATAATAAATATCGACATCTCAAACCATTGTACATTTTGGCTTATGTGGAGAGAGTGCCTATTCCTAGGGTCTTCGTCAACTGTGGAGCCACGATCAATATCCTCCCATACTCCCTAGGAAAGGAATGAACCAAATTGGCACCTTACAACGTGTTGGTGATACTCATTCGGGTTCTCATTTGAAATCAATTACTAGCTTGGTACCTAATTGACTCAATCATAGAAGATTTTTCGAGATATGAAAGAACGAGTGTTATTTGATACCTAATTGAATAAACAGTTATTTTCTGCATTTTATTTTTCTAAACATTGTTAAGGTTGAAAAATTGAAATTTTTAATGTCTTGTTTGTTTATATGTTGGCCCCCCCAACACATAAATTCTTAGCTCCGTTACAAACAACGCAAATCTTAACTCCATGGTTGTAGATTGATTAAAATGATTTTGCCTTAAGTTACTTTATTCGTTATGTTTCGGAACGTGGGTCTTGACGTATTGATATTGTACTGTTGAGTTGAGTTGATGTTATACTATATGATGTTAAGCATTCTTCCCGTGATAAATTGGTTCCTTGCAATCAAGAGTTTTGCTCATAGATGAATTAAGCAGACCTGAGTACGGTGGGTGCACCGTGCAGGTGAATTCCCATTATCTTTTGCTTAGAGGTGAATTCACACTTTTTAGCATTAATCGTGGCTTGGTATCTTTGTCTTGCTGAGGTATAAACTTTCGTTGTTACTGTTGGTTGGTGGATTCATTGATGGAGTTTGTTAAATTTTTATGGGTTCGGTAATACGAGATTGGGGTGTGCAGATTGTGATAGGTTTTGCTTCTTGTGCAATTTATGAGATTTGTTAATCTTTGAATATTGATAAGTTTGGAGCTCAATCAATCTAACTTATGCACATGTCTTAACAATTTGTTGCCAGCAGCAGAGTGATGAAATTTCAAAAGTACTTGAGTTTCTAAGCATCTCTTCCTCCTTTGTAAACCCTAATGGAAGACTATCGCCAGTTATTGGTCTTCATTTTCCTTTTTTGTTTCTTATCTGGTTTTCTGGGTATTTTTTGTTTCGACTAAGAAAAAAAGTGACTAACCCATAAACACTTCAAGGGTTAATAACCATTAATTGCCTATTTTGACACCACCATCGTCTGAACTATGAAATCGTCGTCTAATGGCCATTAAGACGAGAAAAAAATAAAAATAAAATAAAAATGTCGTGTAGATGTCAATAAAACAACAGTTATTAACAAACATTGTCGTCTAGGTGGCACATTTAAAGTGAACTTTAGGGTTTATCTCAGTTGGTTACAGAGGAAGAACGCCCAAAAAGGAGAGAGAGAGAGTTCGGAAAAGGGAAAAAGGGTTGTCTGGAGGCAGACTGACGGCTGGAGTTTAGGGAGGAGGGTTCGAGAAGGTAACAATTGCTTCTCCTTCTGAAATTTTAATATTAAGAAACTAGACTTGCCCAGCTTTCTGTAACTATAAATATCTTCGAATTTGGACAAGTATACAATTTACGGGGATTTTTCAAAGTTGGTCCTGTGACGTTGATTTCAGTCTCCCAGTTACGAATGTCAGTTTCGTAATTGGTAGACGACATGGAAGTCGAACTCCGTTTGACCTCAAATTTTTATATGATGTAAAACCTTAAGGCTACTATGACCTTGTAAAATCTTCTGGTCATGGGACGTTTAGTTATTTTATAACAGTTTTATAAAGTGGACTGGGTCAGGATGGGATGTCCTATTAGACTGTATTCAGGAACAGATTGGGAGTCTGTAATGGGCTAGTATTAGTTAATAAAACGACTCAATATTTTTAAAATATGTAGATTAGGACCTCCGACTTATGTGTATGAAATTTCACGATTTTTGGAAAGCTAGGTATTTTTATAAAATTCATGCGGTGGCTGAACACTGCAGTTGGACAGCAGAATTCTAGTTTAGGGTTTTGATTGTTGGGTTTCGTTTCGGGGCCTAAACAGTGGATTTTTGTTTTCAAATTTTTACCCTGAGACCATCTGTATGTCTAATTTAAGCATATCAATTCTGGAACCATTTTGTATTTAGTAGAATTTACGAAAATTATTTGAGTATACGCTGTCAGTGCTGGCAGACTACTTTGCCTTTATATAGGGCCTTATTGGTTGAGTTTGCGTAGAGGTTAGCACCTGTTTAAGGCTTATATCTCAAGGGGTTTTGTGAGGTTCTCATTGCGAGGTAAGTATCCTAGACTTTCTCTAGAACTATGATAAAAATATATATATATATATGTGAATGTGTGCCTATACGTACGTAAATAAGTAATTGTATATGTGATTATATCATTTGATCGCGATGCTTGTATGTTTGCAAGTAACATGGATGATACCTAAGTTCTTGGATTGGTGTATGTAAGTGTGTCTAAACCATGGCAAGTAGGTATGAGTAAGTCATGTACAAGTCTTAGTACACCTTTGGCTGTGACTTAGTTTAAGTAAGGACTACTAGAGAATCCTAAGTCACTATGAGGCCTCGTGTGTGGGGGTGCACAACAAGTTTAAGGCTCACAATGTGGGTGTCATCGACGAGTGACTTCCAATAAGCTATAAGGCTCATAACCTGAGTGTCATCGACGGGTGACAATAAGAATGTTATAAGGCTCACATTGTGGGTGTTGCCGACTGGCGACGACAAGGCCCCTTTATCTGTCAGTAAAATTATTTGATAGGCCTCTAGCATTGAAGGATCACTCTAAGTGCAATTTGGATGAGTTAAGGCCATGCATTCTTTCTCATACTAGGTGCACAAGCATATGAGCATATTGCTAAGTATTAGTATATTTATATATATAGTATATTTGTAATTGTTTGAGCTTGTTTGAAGCATGTTCTAGCTACTTACTGAGTTTATCTCACTAGTAGTTTATTGTGGTTCCAGGTACCGAAGTTACTGAGGAGTAATAGGAGGCTTGGTGGTAGTAGTCCTTGGTCGTAGTCCGATAGGATTTCCGTTCTCTAGACTTAGTTTGAAAAAGAAAAAGAAAAATAAGCAGTTGACACATAACTTTTTAATTAAGTTGATTTGCTTCCGCTAGATGTACTTATTTCATTTGAGTTACAATTTTATTTGGTGACTCTTGAGTTTCTTTAAGGAATTAGTTTCTATTGGTTTTCCGTTTCAGTTATAGTCCAATTGACCAATCTTTTGTTAATAACTCTCAAGTAGGTAGGGTAAGTAGCACCTCTCGAAGTACGTAACGGGGGCTGTTACAGAAACTCTCATGCAACATGTAGCACTTTTTACTATCTCCTGCCAATAACGTAATGACACGTCAGATAATTTTTCTACATGTCATTATGTTCTTGGTCAGGGATAGCAAAACGGTGTTATTCCTATTACAAGAGGCACAAAAGTTCTTTTATAAACCATATATATGAAAGAAAAAAAAATTAAAAGAAAAAATTATAGAACAAATAAACTGGCACTCCTCCTTTCAAAGAACAAATTAAGTGAAAAGAATTAAGCACAATTTCTAGTCGCCAATATGGTTATCAGTATAATCCTCCAGTAGCCCCTTGTCACCACATAACCTCGATCCATGAAAACCTCTTCCAATTTATTTATTTCTTCTTTTTACGGGAGGGTGGTGCTCCAAGTTTTAAGCTCTTCTTAATTGTTTGCACATGTGTCCTATTACTGGATTGGCATTATCTTCTTTCTCTGATAAGCTGAGCATTATCTTGTGTTCTGTCAATCTTTTTTGTTAGTTTTGTCTACTCTATATATATATATATATATATATATATATATATATATATCAATAATTGAAAACATAGTTTGAAAGTATTATACTTACAAAAGCCTTCTTTTATTGATAGATAGCAATTTACATTGATAGTTTTCTTTGAGGGAGTCTCAGAGAAAACTTTGATAACTGAAGCTTAAAACAAATCCTACTTCAACTGAGGTCGAAGCCTTCTTAAGTACTGAAAGTTAACCCATAATTTTCAACTCTGGTAACCGAAAGTAACTATGGTAACTTTGGATGTTCTGACTATAGAGGCACGGGGAATCAACTAATGATTTAAACTTTTACTTCGAGTAACATGTCGGGGAAAAATGGCTGTTGAAGCACGCGAAAGCTTTTGACTGCTTTTACTGAATGCTTTAACTTTCACTTTCACCTGGGCAACTTTAACCTGTCTACTGCTTAGTCAGAATTGAGATCATAAGCAACATAAGGGTCTTGGGAATATTCATAATCACTCCACACCGATGGGGTTTGGAGGGACTTGGATTAGGAAGACAGCTGGATGATGACTGGGAGGCAGGGGAATTGTCATTGTCCTCATCATCATTCATCTGGGAGGCTTGGATGATCAATTGGCGAGCAATTTCTTGTAATTCAGATTTTGATTTTCCCTCGATTGAGAGAGAAGAACAAGAACCAACAGGAGATACAAGTTGAGGATTGGGAGGATTAACAACTTGAGGAAAATCCTTGTAGACATATTTGGCAACTCTGGCAACTTGAAATTTATCCCACCATTTGACTGAAAATTGGCGAGACATAATTCTGGATTCCCAATTTACATGATAGGACCATTTTAATATCCAAGGAATCTTGTACCTGGCAATAAAATGGAGTAATTTGGGAAAAAAAAACTGTTGTTTATTGAATTTATATTTACTGGTAAAATAATTGGTCAAATTATGAACTTCAGTAAGGAGAATATTGGCTATTGGGCCATGTTTTTCCCACCAATGAAGGAACCAATAAGGGAAAGGACTCTTGAATTTACTATCAAAATTGATGAACCAAGAGTGGCTGAAGTCAACTTTCTCATATAAAAATATGGAATACCATGCTTCAATATAATCAGCATAATTGTATGGATGAGTGGACTGGAGATGTTTCAACTCATAAGGATGGCGACTGAATTCTTCTTGACTTAGGATTTGGTGAATGTAGAGGGAATGGTAGAGAATTATGTGGGGGTTTTCCCGGTCTTTTATGGGCTTAATTTCAACTGATTTGGTTTTGACTAGAATGTCCCTATAAAAGGAAAGATTTTTGTAAGGACTGGAAGGAAGAAAATGACAATTAGGGGGGAAAATAAGACTTAACGATTGTGATGGGGTCAGAAATACCATCATAAATTGGTTCGATTATGAATAGGTGCGACTTATCTTTAGGGACATAAGGAGATGATTTTGGAAGAGGAGTAGACGACTGGGAAGACTGAGCAACTGGAGGAATGATCTGAAAAGGATCATAACTGGCAACTAGGGCAGATTGGTAGTTAGGACGGATTTGACCAACTGTGGCTCCCAAACTAGAGAATCGATTACTGACTTGTATAGGAGAACATCCCGGAAAAGGGACCAATTGGGAAGGCGACTCGGTTTTAACTGGATTCATGGATGGTTGAAGGATTCTGAATGGCTTAGGTTGACTGGGCTGACTGGATGGATTGGTGACCGGCTCTTTTTGTTTGTCTTTCTTGGGTGCCATTATTTATCCTGCAGAAATTCTCGGGTAAGAAAATCAGGGATTGAATTCTCACTACCTCTCAAATATTCAATATCAAAATCAAAAATACTTAAAATACTTTGCCATCGTGTAAAAATATGTTTGGATGCAATGTTTTGAACATCCTTTTCTAAGACATGCTTTGCAGACTGACAATCAACTCGAACTAAAATTTTTTGATTAAGTAAATCATCTTGAAATTTAGAAATGCATAGTACTATAGATAGTATTTCTTTCTTAATAGTACTATAATTAAATTGCGATTGGGTCCAAATTCCAAAATGGAAACGAATGATTTGTTCTGGTAGGTTTGGACTGACTTTTTGCTTGAGAATACCTCCGTAGCCAATATTAGAGGCATTGGTTTCAACTATTTTGAAGGATTCAACTAAAGGGATACCAAGACAGGGAAGTGTCTTGACATGGACTTTGATTTGTTTGACAATTTTTGTATGGACAGAGGACCAAGGAGGAGGATTATCCTGCAGCCTATCAAACAAAGGCTTACATTGTTTTCTCAGATTTTGATAGAAATCAGACACATAATTGAGAGATCCTAAAAACCTATGAAGCTGACTCTTAGCAAGGATTTGATCAGGAAATTTATCAGCAAAATTGAATGACTCGATCAATTGGACTGATTCGTGATTGACAAATATTAAAACCAAGGAATCGGATATTTGTTTGGAACAACTTGATTTTCTTAGCAGAAACAACTAGACCATTATGTTTAACAATCTGGAGAAATTTTTGCAAATGTTTCCAATGTTGTTCTATTGACTGAGAAAAGATTAGAACATCATCAATGTAAACAATAGAAAAATGACTGAAGGGATTGAATATTTCATTCATTATGTTTTGAAACTCACTCGGTGCATTTTTCAAACCAAAGGGCATTACATTCCATTCATAATGGCCAAAAGGGGTAACGCATGCAGTTTTGTACCTATCTGACTCATCTATTTGGATTTGCCAGAAACCACTCTTCATATCAAATTTGGAGAAGACAACTGCTTTTTCTAATCTGTTGATTAGGTCTCTTTTATTAGGTATGAGGTACCTAATCCATTCTAAGACTGAATTAAGGGGTTTGTAATTAATGACTAATCTTGGAACGCCTCTTTCTAATTCAGCTTTAGTAGGGATATTTTTCTCACTAAAGGTTTTGACATAAGGAAGACTAACAACATGTTGTTTCCTGTGCCAAAAAGCATTAGGCAAATCAGAACAGATTTCATTTTTTAATTTATTTTCAAATTGTTGAATTTGTAGTTGTAAAAACTCACTATTAATCTGTTGTTCGGCTCTTTTGAATTTGACTTCTTCTTGAAGGGAAACTAGTTGCTTGTTTTTATTATGAATTATTTTGATTGTTTTGGAGACTGAACTCTTTTGAAGGGCTTTTAGGTTATGCAACTCGGGCTTAGTTAGGAACTCAAACTTAACCTTTTCGCCTAAATGGGTAGAGATGACACCATCATATTCTACCTGGAAAGGATACAATAAGGCTATGAATGGTAAACCTAAAATAACTTCGTCAGTAATATTTTTTACTAGGACGAATGAAGTTTTGAAATAAATTTTATTCTGACATACATGGGCTTTAGGCAACTCATAATTCAACTGAAGTGATTTTCCTGAGGCCGTACTTAAGGACTCTTTAGATTTCTTGTAAAACTTAGTGGGAATTAGACATTCTTGAATGCAATTAAGGTCGGCTCCTGAATCAAATAGGGCAACTGTATTGAGTTCAAATTTTTTTACAAATATCATGATTTTAGAATACCATTTTCTAAAATTAACATGTTTGATTAGATTGACGGTTTGCTCGTTATTCGAAGGTTCACCATCTGAGTTATGTGGACTCTCTGGCTGACTTCTAGACTCAGAACTTTCTTTTTCCATTAAGTTAACTAGGTCTTGTTTAATAGCATAATTCTCAACTTGTAGTTTATGACTCATTTGTTTTAATTCAATTATTTCTTTTTTAATTATTTTAACTTCTAACTACAAATCTTGTAAAGTAACTACTTTCTTTCGATTAAATTTTTCTAACGTAGTATTCAGACTTATTGGTTGAGGAATGGACTGGCTTCGACTTTCTTGGCTAATAACCTTTCTTAATTTTTTCAGGTAATCAGCTTTCAATTATGGGTTTTCAACTTTACTGATTAGATCAATTAACAACTCTTCTTGTTCTTCCTGTTTAGTGAGGACAGAAATAGATTTGATTCTATTGCAGCATTTATCTTTGCAACCTAACTGAATTCGGGGTGAACTGGACTGAGAATTTGAGGACTGATAACTTTCTGACTCAGAACTGGCAACTATGGTTTCATCTTGATTAGACTTAGAGTTTCTTAATTCTAGGACTTTAATCAATTTGTCTTTTTCCTCATCCGTGATTTTCAACTGTTTAATAGTATCTTTTACTTTACACTTATTGGCATAATGACCGAACTTTTGACATTTATAACATTTTACTTTTCTTTTGTCGGAGTTTTTCTTAGATCGACTATTCTTTTCTCTTTTCTGTGTATTTGACCACTTTTTACGCGGGTGAAAATTCTTTTTCTTGTAAAACGCATTATTATCTTGGAACGACTGCTTTTTCCATGGGTAATGACGACTTTTACTAAACCATTGGTTGGGGACACTTGGCTTATTTTTCTTAGAGGGTGGAATACTGGTAAGACAGTATTGTTTACAAAAATTTCCTAATTCATACTTAGCGGATTTTCTGTCAGACTGTATTTGGCGACCAATTTTAAAATCAACACACATTTTCATTCCAACTTGGTTAATTGTACTTATTATATTTCCATAAGTTAAATTATCCCAATCAATATGACCTTGTTCATTACTAAGGACTGTGCGGATTTTATGAGCAAATAGGTTTGGATGACCATTAATAAATTTTTCTTTCCAAACGGTTGATTACTATCATCTCTAAGCATGACTCTGGAGATGAAAACATCTTTATACCATCTAAAATCAGACAACTTAGGGCATCTGAGATTACTAAGCTGATCATGAATTCTAGCAATAGTATTACTAGGTGTTCCAATAAAATGTTCAATTATTGTATAAAACAAAGTATTGATATACCTTGACCTATTTGTTCGTCAAATATAGGAAGACCATCTTCATTAATTTTGACTGCATGAATTATTTGATTTTTTGACTCTGTGATTAAGTGTTTATCCCACCAATACCGAAGGGTTTCGGTAAAACCAGTGACTAGCAAAGACACTATTTCAGACTGCCTAAAGTTGTGGTTGGTGATGTAACTATTGGCAACCATGGACATATGTTGAAGTTTATTTAAAATTTCTTGCTCAAACAGACCATCAATATTCCATTCATACAATTTATCAGAAGAAACTGAAAACTGACTTTGGAAGTTTCGTTCTTCAAATTGGATGTCTGGGGGTGTTGGTCTAGGGTACCAATTTTTGGTTAGACTAGTAGGGCTGACCTGGTTGGTTAACCATTTGACTATTGGCTTGTTTTCTAATTCCAAATTTTGAAAAGTATTTTCAAATTTTGAAATATTACTGGTTTCTAATCCTATGCTGACAATTGATTCAGATTCAGACTCAGAAGGGTTTATGAAAGAATCTAGTGTTTTAAGACCAAATTTTTCAGGTTTGACTGGTGTCAGCTGTTCGAGCATTTCTTTTTTTTTATTGTTGGATTGATCTTAAGGGTAGGACTCGATTTAAGATCTTGGAATTGAACAAACGATTTTTCAACTTTGGTTTTAGCCTTACTATCCTGAGGAATTAATTTATCAACTGTAGTTTCAATTTTATCTAATTGTTTGCCTATGACAATCAGACTCTAGTTGGTGTAATTACTTTGTTCTATTAGTTTCTTATCAGGATCATTTTTCTCATGGCCTTTAAAGGGACTAGCTAGAATTGGAGTGTTCAAGTAGTCAATTATTATTGTTTCTACTGGGGGATGACTTGTTATGACTTCCGAATTATCAATTAATTTTCATTTTTCTTTAGTTAATATTTTCAACTTATTAGACATGTATTGGCTCTCTAAGAAATCAAGGTAGAAAATCTCAACTTTGGCTGACCGCATATAATCTTTCCATTCATTAAAGATTTGTTGTCGCTGTTCTTTGTTAGGGTAGGCTTGGTGTTAACTATTTCTTGTATTTTGGTTTTCTAGGGCCCTAAGATGACAATCTAAGGCTTTCCAGTTAATAACAAATTTTCTATTAAGTGTTCTTAATTGATTATTAACTTCTGCATAATCAGCTTCAAAATCAGTTTGAGTAGGTGACTCAGGCGACTCAGATTTTTCTTTTCCCTTATTTGGTGTTTTACCATGACAAGGTTGGTTAACTTGGGAAGTTTTTCTTAAGGATTCTAATTTGAAATCTATCATGACTTTTTCTAACTCTAGGTCTCGTTCTAAAGTTGAGGATGATGCTACGAAGGAATGCTTTGCAGGAATGTGTCTCTGGGATTGACCAGGGGTTGGCAACTGGACTGTGGATTTTGAAGGTTGATTTCCAAAACTTATTTTGACTGTGCCATCAAGATATTGTTGGATATAATCCAAATTGTTTAGATTATGTTGAACAGGGGCTGGATGACATTCGGTTGTGAACGTCCATTCTGGGGGAAGATTAATTTCTGACCATTTAATTGTGTGAGGTACTCGTATGTTGGCCTTGGATTTTCTACTTTGGATCAACAGGGTTTGATCTTTTGTACTCTTATTAAGGGCTTGGAAATTCATATTAGTTCCTGTGACTTTATAATAAATTCTATAAACTAAAGCTACTGGTTGTGTTCCTGGGAGGACTTGGTAACCATCAGTTTTGATATTTAAAGTTAATGTTTTTAAAATATGTGGATTACTAAGGCTAATCGTAAAGTCTGGGTAGCAATCAAAGTGAACCGGACCATTACATAAATTGAACTCAATTAATCCTAGCGTATTGTCGCTAAAATTAGTGA